GTACTAGTTCGGTTGGAGCTTAATTGCGCGGATTATTGCGGTTCAATTCCTGATACCAAATACAGATTACCACAGCTTGTCTCTTCTTTTTCTTAGTGATGCGAACCTTTCCGTGAGCCCTGTCTACCCTACTTTACCGACGTTCCACCTACCGCGCATGGTACACTGGAGATATAGGCACCAGGTGATTCCGTTCGCAACTCGTACCAATTCTCTTTGATGCGGCCAAAGGATAGCATAAGAGTAGAATCGCGCCTATGATATCTAGCCATTCAACTAAAATTATACACTCAGGAAAACATTCCATCCGAAATAGGGATGCGAAGAACCGCAAGACCAGCGAACAAATTGCGATTCCTGATATTGATTTACCTGTTTTGAAATCAATTTGTGCCGAAAATCGATTGAACAAGCAACAAACTTCAAAAATTTCGATAAATGTCCCTATCGCTCTAATGAAATAGTACCAGAAAAAATGTACCGGACATTAGTATGAGACTGTCCATTCCATGTTGTATAGGTTACATAAGTTCTGGTGATGCGTATTAAGATCAAACAACTATGCAGATGGAGGTTTGGAATGTTCCTCTCAATGTATGGAAGGATAATATCTGGAGTACTGAGCTCGTCACAGCGTAGTGTCTTACTTTTCTATCGGCTTTCATATGACATTATTGTACAGCTTGTTTTAATACGCACAATAAGTAACAACACAATACTAAACTCTGTTCGTGACTACGTACGCGTTCTCCGAGTGTTGCCGAAGCATCACCAGTTATCATCAAGCGGTCCGTTAACTGTCGCAGCAACCCCCTTCAGTCCCACCGCGCATTATCAATCGGAATCATACTTCCGAGAAACAGAATCAATCAACCGACCGGAAAATTTTCCTGATTCCGTTCTATGTACCTTTCATTTCATTATTATTCTTATTTGTAGTATCTTTTCTACTACAAAAATTCAGATGCTCGTAACTGATGCTGTATTTGGATGCATGTACATACGTAAAAACAAGGTACACACATAAGCGAGTAACGTCGAACCGGAAAGCAGGATAAGAGAACAAAATTGGAATTCAGACGACGAGAGCTGGAACGAACACGGGGACTGGTACAGTAGGGGGATAAAAACACATCACAAATCATCTGGAAAAGCGGAGGATAAAGATAGATGTTGGGGTGGTCGGAGAATGAGTGCACACGAGCGAGCACACACAAGTACGCATGTAAATGTGCGTGAAAAGTGTGGGATAAGGCGTGTCGGTGTATATAAAAATAGCCGAGAAAAATGCTGCTTAGAAAGGATGTGGTGGGATGATGAAACGTGGAACTGAAATCGCGAGATGAAGAAACAAAAGACGAAAAGGTGACAGTGGTAGCGAAGGTAAGACCGGTGAGCATGAGTCCGAGTCAGTAGGGTGGGGGAAGGTCAGTTGAACTAAATGCGACAAATGGGACAGTGATAAATCGAGCAAGGGGAAGAACAGTGCATTTGAGAATCATTCGGACGAATATTTTACTGCCGGGTGAAGTTATGAGCGACGACAATACACAGATTGGAGAGCGACCGACCGCAAAGCATGCATATTTGAATGTGCTGACAAGCGAACAGATAGTTAAAAAAAGAACCGAAGGCTATACAGTGGGCTGATCGTTGGATGTACAATCCTCCGTTGCGGGGTTAGGTTGGGATGCAGAGTTACGCTCGGCAGGCAACACTGGGCCATTTGTAAGTGACGGTAATCCTGTGGGACCGGCAGATTCAGATTCAGAACTGGATGAAGGTCGAGGAGGAACCTGACTGGCACTTTGACTCACACTGGACATATCTCCATCATCGGCTGGTGGACCGGGAGAATATGTCAACCGACAGGGAGGCATGAGTTGCATAGAGGGATCGGAGCAGATATAACCCAGAGAAGGGTCTGAGGCTAGGGAGTGATACGGAGGACGTAGAAAGTATCCGACATCAACTTCAGGGCCGGGATTTGATGCTGCCGATTGAAAAGGCACATAGTTAGCAGTCGGATAGTTTGAAAGAGCTACATCGGTCATCGCTTCATCTTGGTCAGACATAACCTCGTCCTCGCTATCAAACGCGTCCGAATCGGCCGGGTCACGGCGCTTGGCTAGAGAAATCGGGGATTTCAGGAGGGGATCGCCGTTAAGACTTGTTTTGTGTGTATCAGTAGGGAGCAGCGAAGTGTCTGATAACAGTGGATGTGTCTCTGAACGACCTGTCAGGGAACTCGTCCTGTCGGGTCGAAGTAACGGGAGACTTTGGGAGCCAGTGCCATGTGGTATCTGCGTTGAGGACCATCAAAGAAAATCAAACTCACGCAAGTTATTTCTACTGGTATGCTTTCGCACGAAAAATGTCATCCACAATCAGGGCTTAAACGACTGGGTTCATCATTTGGACGGCGCTAAACCATTTTTCCGATAGGTCGAACAGTGGCTACGGAAACACGAAAATGGGTGTAATCTAATTTCGGAAATAATCAGGCATTAAAAGGACAACGGACGATTGTGATGAAAGAAAAAAATCATTGATATATCGAAAATTTTCACTAGAACAGAACGAAAACCAGAGTGTAATATATAAACATTACTAAAACTTATCCAGAAAAGTGGATTATCAATCGGTGCACCAGGGAGCAACACACTATTACACACAGCAGACGGGGTAAACCCCAGAGTCACGAGGACCTGCTGCTCNGAAATCTGCAACCTAAGCACCGGAACTTGGAGTGGCGAACCACCTAAGGCCCCGATAGGTAAGGTGTGTTGTTGAACCGGACGACAGCAGAGCTGCTTACCACCAAAGTCGGGTGGCGGGGCTCGAACCTCGGTTAATAGGGTCCAAAGCACGCCAGTGACAACAACTAAACCACTGTGCCATCACTTAACCGAAAACCAAAGACCTTTCGTGACAGGCCTTTAGAAACACCCATTCGCGTGATTCGGTCAGGCTCACGCATTGGACCGACGGCCGACCGCCTTATGGGTCATACTTTTGAGTCAAAAGCTCCGAAAGAAAATCCTCTTTGTCGGTGTGAGCTACCGCGAAGTAATCCGTGTCCCAAAGTATCTGGCATCCATTGGGAAAACTCCTTCCACATCCGTCTAGTTCTTTCTTTCATTCCCAAGAACTATAAAATGCTTCTTATTTATACCATTCATAGGATAACACCCAGTGTTTAACGAGCAAGGTGAACCAAATTGAAGTTATCAGACTGTTGAAATCAAAATCTCTGCCTCACATGGTCGCACAATGTCAGATCTAACAACAAACGGCATTAGCTAGAACACTGTGAACTATCTATTTAAACAAGACACGACTTCAATTATCACCTTGTATTCTTCAGATCCAACCTCATCGTCACGCTTTACTCTCCGTGCGTCAAGCCATTCGGCACCTAACGTTTAGGTGTTGCTGGTGTGGGGATTGCGCTAACAACTAATGCTGAGCGTCCCCCTCTTGAGTGCATTCCGGTTAGCAGCCAACTGTGCATTGTATGTCTCGATGGTTCAGTACACGTCAAAAGCTACAGAAAAGAGCATCAATGCTTGTTCGTCGTGACCGTACACGCATCGATTGAATGCAGTGCACCCGAAATAAACGATGTATTTTAAAATGGCCTTCCTCAATTACTCCAGTCGACCGTAAGGGAGTTCAATGCTAAAGCGGAATCCTTGACGAATCTGAAAAGTGCATAAGAAGACTGCACCCAATCCAAGCCAACCGAGAACACCTGCACATACGACGGACTGTTCATGTCAAGCACCGACTTCTCCAATATCTCCTTATCAGACGCTCGCAGAACCATTCCACTCGATGCCAAATATGACAACGCGCAAATCCTCTCAACCAAAGCCTCGGCATGAGCCTGAAGAATGACCGCCAGAAGCCGTGTGTAGCAAAATATAAAGAGACAGAAAAGGTTGCGTCTATTGGTAATAGTCGCAACCTTTTCCGTCTACTTAGGAATACAGGCTTAAGGAAGCTAGGCGTGAGTGAGGGAGTTTGACGGCACACAGATTCACATTTAGCAACACCATCTTGAATGATCGGAAGAATCATTTAAGGCAGAATTCTGCTAGCCCCGACATTAGACGTTTTAATTCCTGCTTCAACGTGGCAAATACTGTCAGTTGATATCAATTCAATACCTGAATTGGAAGTTACTCCGGAAATCTCAAAAGGTACAAAG